AAAATCCTAGTAAATATCAAATTTAGTTTATTGTCTTATACAGTTCAGGCACAAATCCAAAATCTAATTCTATAACATTGCCTGGTTTGGTTTGGTGCCATTTCATAAATTAAAAAAAAAAGTTAATTTATACAAACTACCACTTGCAAAATGTAAAATTAATTGCAAGTTTTCAATTTCTGCCAATAGTGCTTGGTTCAATCAGAAGCTCTTATACATTTACCCTTTAAGTATCCTTCAGCAATACTAAAATGACACAGGTCTAATTAATATGGAATACTTGAATTCCTATATTTTCATATGATACGCAGTATACAGAGAAAACCTGTAAAACGGACGGATGTACAGTTTCTTCAAAGACCTAAAAGACTTTGATCTTTTATGGACTATGCACAGATTGGAAAAACTGCCCATTCAACAAAAATAAAGGAGAACTACAACGCTATTTTTATATTTTAACGTTAGAAAGAATCAGCATTGATGACTGCATTTCAAACCAGAATAAATGTAAAAGGTACACAGCAACTAATTTACATTTTAAATACTTAATTTAAAATTTCAGAGTATGTGTAGCACCATGTTCTGCAATTCAGAACGAGGCAACAAAACTTCCGGTGACATGTTGTAGCATTAGTTTATTGACAAGCCTACTCCTTTACATCTCTCTTAATCCAACAGAAATATTACTTTTGATTTCGAGACCGTTTTGCTGACTTGCCTGCTAACTCTGCATGCAGATCACGCTGGAACATTTCTGCCGCACCGCCTGTACCTGTTCCCTCATACATCACATTGCCTCAGCCATGACGGCGACTGGAAGAGGCCCTTCCTGCTCACGTCGCGATGCGTGGTGAGCAGGTCACACACTCGTCAAATGCGAGCGTGTGACCACGTGGCGACTCTTCCATAACGTTCCGGATTTTGGGCTTAACTTGAAATTTGTCTGAGATTTAATAAGCGGTCTGAGAAATCGGGACTGCAGTTCCGCTGTAAAAGCAAAAGTTCACGATGTGTGCAATGGGATTGTGTGTAGTAGACCCCCGCTGTGACCTTCGCCATCAACCCTGAAACCACCGATTCAATATGGCAGCAATGCATCCATAAAATTGGAAGGACAATATGTTCAGAGACCAGGATTAATCATGTATATCAAAATGTAATCAATATTACAAACTACACTGCCTTAATCAAGTGAGAGGCATCACAGTATAATTTTCTTAACATACCGTTTTCAATTTTGCTTTTGGGATGGGGTCCACTGAAGGCCAAAAATTTCCCAGGAATTATCCAATTAAAATCCCCATTTTCTGCTCTCTGTGCAAAAATATTAGTAGTTAACAGAGTTATAGAACAAGACAGCTAGAACAATTTTAAACTACCTGTTAAGAATAGCCTGTTTTGACATGTTCCACACAAATCAAGCCTTGAAACACTGCATGTAAAATTCCTTATATACCCCCGTTTTAGTTAATTATAAAAATCTATAACTGAGTAACTGGCATATATTTTCTAATATGCATCCATAAAGAAGATTTAATTATGCACAAAGCAACATTAATTTTAGATTTAAAGGATGAGGAACACCCAATTAAGAACTGCTAGCAACTCATCCATTGAAATTGTAATGTGTTTCAATATCATAAGAAATAACAGAATTGAGAAGTTAGTTCATTGCTACTAATAGGAATTATAAACCCATCTTTTGAGTTACTAGAGACCAAAGCTAAGCAATAAGAGTGTAGACTGTTCTTTTATAAAAAAAGTTGTACCTCATAATGCTCATATTCCTCTACATCGAATTTGGTGAAGTCCAGCCAGCCATATTGCAAAGCCTGCGGCAGATTTTGAATAAGCACATAAGCAATAAGAATTTCACATATTTCAAAAACACATATACATTATGCCAACGTCCAATTTAATTCTTACCTTATGTATTCCTTTAAGACAATCAAGGATGTGCAAATTGTATGAACAAGTGCCAAATGAAGCATCTCTGTGAAAATAAAAAGAACATAAGTTAATCAGGATCTTGGTGTAGCTCATGTTTTTGAGTAATTATAACTATGCAACTTGTAAACTCAACTTCTTCCTATAAAAACATTTAAAAGCAAGTTCCTATCGAGAAAATGCAAAGTCCTTGCTGTAAATCACTAAACAATTTCGCAAACAGAACTCGGCCAGACAGCGGCAAAAATCCACAGATTTCCTAAACAAAATTAAAAAATTGAATAGAAGCTCTAATCAAAACTAATATTTAAAGAATAATCTCAACATGGACGTAATATTTTAACATACAAGGCATCTTTCACCTCACTACCAGACTGAAGGAAATGCACCTTTATAGTCAAGGTCAGAGGTTGATAAATATTCAAAATCCTCAAACGCTTTGACAATGCCAACAATTTTTTTTTTCCAGAATAAACAGCAAAGCACAAACCAGAGGACACAAGTTGAAACATTGTAAAAGTACACTAAAATCGAGAACATGAGGTACTTGATTAAGAAAACTACTCAGCCACATTGTTGAAGATTCTTTCCCAAATGACCTCTGCGAGTTTACTGAATCCGATAGCTACTACTAAACGAGCTCGATGAGCTGAACTGGCTCCTCTCATTTATAATTGTTTTTATTTGAACAATATTACATTTTGTTCAAGGCTCTTAACCCAATAGTCAGGCTTTTCCTGTACTAACATTTTCAGCTGCAGCCTGTGCATTTCCCCAACTACACAAAATAAACACAAAGACACAGGAAATTACCTGAAAGGCAAATATGTGGTGTTGCGAGATACTAAAAGGCTGTAGGCTTCTTCAGGGGTTCTCTTCAAATGCATTACCTTAACAACAGAAAATGGCAACAGTAATTATGTTTAACTGAGCTGTCCAAGAAATAGGAACGAGTGCAGACGAGATCAGGCAGATGAAAATAACATCAACCATATGCTTAATCTTCTACACCCAACATTTGCAACTGATAGAGATCCAAATGACACAAGTGCCCTGAGAGATGAATGTCTCTGGCTGTTCTTTATTTTTCTACTACTCTTGAGTTCGTGGCTTATTTAAACATTATTGGCTCAGACGTAGCCCTGTGCACAGGCCTATTAAAAAGACCCAAGGGCATGAATTAGGAATCCACAAACTGTATCTAAAGTATTAATGCTCGTTGGGAAAGAGCTTCAATTGGTTATGGCTCTTACCAGTTTAGGACTTCAGTACAACAAAAGATTTGCCATATATCCAGTTTCAGAAAACAAAAATTATAGGAATTGTTCTGTGGTCAAATATCCTCGAGTACACAAACAGCTTCAGAAAAACAAAGATTAAGCTTTGATTAATATTCTGAAATCAGATGTTCATATTCAAGGTGTGACGCAGGAGCATGGCCAAACAAACAAGCAATAAAGCCAACATTTAGATCTAAAGTCCACAGAGTCTGAGCAGTAGTAAAAGAAATCTGCTACAGCAATTTGTCTGTGCAGTCTTTTTTCCTGGAGGGGGAGGAAAGCTACTGAATGAAAAAAGGGAAGATTAAGGTTAATCACGTTTGTGTGCGGACAAGGTTTTTTTAAATTTCAAGAAGTTGCATTTTGATTTCATCTTGCGGGGGAACAAATTTAATTCGGAGGTCTGGAAAGTGCTGCTGAACAGCAGAGCTACTGTACAGCACTATGGCCTAGCAGCTGTCTGGTCTGCACTGCCAGTGAACTGGATCGTTTCCGGCGGCCAGACCAAGATCAGCAATCTGAGAACACTCAAGCCAAATACGGAAAACCATCAGGTCTAAGCAAGGGAGAGCAAGGGCAAATTCTTAAAACATCCCATCATAGCAGCAAGTGCTATTTACATGCTAGTATTTGGCACAGCAATTAGGAAAAGTAGGGAGGACAGGTAGTAGCTTTCGCATTTGAAAAAATAAATTGTGCTCCCCATTCAAGTGATTTTATCAGCTTTGTTGGTGCTCCCCCCCCAAGATTAATTGATGAGTAAAATCCTTTACAATCTACAGAGAAAGTCTAATAGACGTCATTCACTATTTAAACGAGCATAACTCAGAAAACATAAAAATGATGATCACTGTTCTGCTAGTTCTAGATCTATTAGTCTGCTTGTGAATTAGAGAAAAATGGTTTCTGATTAAAATGAATACCAATATTGGTAATCACTGCACAAACTCCCCCCCAAAAAATGGAAAATATACTTACTGCATAAGAACCTATAAGATAGGCGGCATTGGCTTGTTTCTTTTGGTCACCACAGGTATAGAAAATGATTCTCTTTTTCGAGAGCGTGAAGGACTGTTTAAAAAAAAAAAGATCTTCATTAGCTACAATGTGGAAGTGGCTGGTATGCCAAATTATTAGTTTAAGAGATGTTCTGCAGTAACACGGGGGTTTAGAATGTGTCCCATTAAAATTAAAAAAATCATAAAGACTTAAATATTTCCAGCCTTTCAACTGAATCCCAGAAGAACAACTAAAGAAATAATGACTCTGTCACCATAAGTCTCAAAAGATAAACAGTGCATTAAGTTTCAATTACTATCTCGGTTCAACACAAATGAAATGAATTTTCAAAGCTTGAAGAAAGGTAACTGTAGGAGAGAAAAGTAATACTGCAGTAAAATAAAAAATCAAACCGAAGACGGCAAATTTTTCCATCCTTAATCTCCCAGTCAATTTAACACCAGGGACTGCATTTCTTAGAGGAAGAGACTTAATTCTAAATGATGAACTCCCATTAAAGAAACTACACTGGTATATTTTTATTGACAACACACTTCCTAAATGTATAGTGCAGGGCTGTTGTTGGTGTTCACTGTACTGGTTCAGCTTTGACATTTTTATCATCCACATGATTCTTTTCGTGAAAATTTCAACCCCAAGGCTTCTACAAGCACGACAACGCAGCAATCCTAAGCCTTCGTGAAAATATATTTACCTTTAATTTCTTATTGAGCTTGCAACAAAAGCGATACAACATCGCCAGGTTAAGAGGTCCAAAATCTGCATAGAAACTGCAAATGAAAAATAATGAAAAGCATTAGCGTGTTTCCAGCATTTACTTAAGTAACAGCTAACAAGTCTCTTTGCAAGCAAAGGGGAGAAAACAATTTTAGGAGATGAGGCTGTTCCTTGAGGATTGTTCTAGGCTTGTCATTATCTTTACTGCATACTTTCAATATGGACAATGCCAGAGGAAGCCATCAAGAAAATAAAACTAGCCTAAATACTACATTAAATTTTACTTCACTGAATGCATCACCTATGAACGTAAATAAATGAGAAATCAGAATATTGATACGTACAGGCTGGAATTTCCCCTCCCTGAAGCGAAAACAGGAGGAATTCACAAACTAATCATACTCACTTCTCGTAAGACAGCTCATCATCTATACAGAAGAAGTGCCTCTCTGCGGTACTTTTAGGCTTCTGTTGAAGAATGACAAAATACAGCTGATCTGCAAAGAGAGGACACCAAATTAGAAATAAAAGCATAGTTTAAATGTCCCTTCTTTTTGTCTACAGTCAACAAAAGCAAAAGGAAAAAAAAAGGAAATGAGTTGATTTCAAGCTGTCAGACGAGCCTCGTCGGAATCACGTCCCTGCCTTTTAAAAAAAAACATAATTGCATATTTGCATATTTCACATTCAGCTGCCATTACAAAAACAGACAGCCACCCTCACCCCACACTTTATTAACGGATGCATTTCTGCGGCTTGTGTCAAAATGAAACGCGTGCATCTAACGTTTCACACGCCGAGATCTTCATCTCGCACCCAGGTGTACCCTCGCAGACACACACGACCCTCCGTGGCTGTGGAAAAACACCGATCTGGAGATCTCTCGCCGGGCCCCTAGCGGGATGTGTCCGCACTTAACCGTGATTGATACAACTTCAATCTATCTGCCGCAAGGTGCGGAGAGGGCTCTGTTTTGCGGACTTTCAAAGACAACAACAACAACAACAACAAATCAACAATTAAAAACGACAGTGAAGTCTGAACTCACCTTTGATGAATTCGATTGCGTTTACCATGACATTGTCCTCCGCCATTCTATTTATTAAAAAAAATAATAATTTCCCCCGAGACCTCGTTTTGAGAAGTAACAAAGTCGAAATAAAAGGTAATGCTAATCGATAAGGCACGTGTTAATGGCTGCACTGTTAAAAAACGGTCACGGCAATTAAGGAACTAGGCGCTAGTACTAATTAAACCGTCAATTATTTCTTCAGAAAAAAACTAGAAAATCATTCACCTCTATTGACGGGATGTCGCATTAATAGTTACTAATATTACATTAGTAAAAACATACACAATCTAATGGCAAAAATCGATATTCAAGCACCGTACAGTATACTGTAGAGTTTTTTAAATCTCCCCCCCCTAATTCGGAGAGATGATATTAAAAAGTGCACTTCCTCAGTCGGGCTGTCGTGAAACCCTGATCGCCATAACGCTGCAACTTTTCCGCAGAAAAAAAATAAAAACCCCACCGAAACAAAACGAAATAAAGCAACCCTTTTCTGTCCAGAAGAGCGGAAAAAAAGATACCGTGCGCAGCTCAAAAACGTCTGTACTCGAGGTCCCTCAAACTCCTGGCTCCTTGCACCACCCAGCTAATCTTCCTCTGCCTCTGCTCATAACACCCATTGGCTCGGCGACGACATAACTGCAGCAAACGATACACTGTTGCACGACTCACCCGCCAATCATCTCTCGACACAAGAGTTCGGAATTTCAAGTTCTGCGGAAAAGAGATGGAAGATTCTAATTGGAACGCTGCCCAAGCCGTTGCTAGGAGAAAAGCTTTGTTCAGCCAATAGAAAACTCTACTTGCTACACCAGTGTACACATTGATTAAAGCGTGTAGGGAGATACGATCCGAATACCTTTGTTGCGAGTCTCAGCTTTTTTTTTTGTTTGCTCAAACTCAAACGTACGTCAGGTAAAAAAAAATGTAAGTAAACTATAACGCAACAAGAACGCCTTTTGAAAAGAAGAAAATAGTTTTATGTTGATATGTTTATCCTGCAACGTTTAGGTCAAATCGAACAATGTAATCATTAACTATTAAAATAAGCAGCGAACGTTTGGTGAACTGGTAAAGACATATTTGCCAGAGACGAGGAAAAAAAAAATGTCTGCAGATTGTGGAGTTTTCCGGCGATGATAAATACAGATTCCAAAGTCATTTAAAGGTATTATACTTTTTAAACGATGTTCGTCAGTCGATAACAGTGTTAAACTGTCCAATTAATTTTAAATAATGTTTTATTGTAAGTGGCACTTAACACACCGAAACCCCATGTTTTCTGGGCACATTTTTATGTGTTGCTGTCAACTACTGTACTGGTCAGCAGACAGAGCTGAAACTGTCCATCTTTGTAACTCAGCTGTGTAGTTAAATCTGCTCTTCCCCATTCTTGCATTTAACATAGCTACATCCTGTTTATCTTATGCTATTTACATTTTACCGATTGTCCTTTCCTTTCACTGCTCTATCAAACGTGCTACGATGCCGTAAGCCTCTTAGACAAATGGAGTTTGTGGACTGACTTGAGCTGATTACATAAAAATAGAAAAAAAGACTGCTTTATGAACGGTAAACAGGAGAATTCGGACTGGAATTTTCCTTCTGGCTGATAACTGGACACAGTTGTACACACGGAGATAGACCTCATTGCTGGAGAAAATAATTATGCTCTGAACTTGGCAGAGATAAACTGTGGACCTTTCTAGAATCCCAGCTCACACTTCCCTCAGGCAAATTTAAATTGGGATTTTAAGATGGCTATAACTGTTTCATAGCTTGGCCTACCCTCTTCAGACAGGATTTAGCACGAATTGCTTGCAGGAGTTCAGGATATGAGAGATGATCAAGCACATTTTATCTTTAACTTGGAGAATAACCTATTGGGATTTTCACAAAACACTGTCCAGACTATAACTATTTACAAAAGCATGATGGTGTAGTAATACAAAAAAAAAACACTTCTTGGTCCATGTGAATACAGCTCTTCATTGCAACACCATGTATCTTTTAGGGAATCCAGATGTAATTCAGTATGCAGTACATACAAAAACAGTAATATAATAAACCCCAAAGACACACACTCGGTAAATATGCGCATCTGTTAAAAAGAGCATTTCCATACTGCATGTAACAGCAAATGCAAATATTTGCTGAAAGATTACATCTAGCGAGTCCAGGATGAGTCAATCGCTTACTTATAAAACAAAATCTTTTTCGGTCGCTCTTTCTAAGTGCACTGTTAAATTCATGAAATGTAGGCAAAAGGCCAATACAAAAGTCACATTTCAAGGCTAAATGGGCCTACCACATTTTGAAGTCTCCAAGGATGCAAAAAAAAAAAGTAGTCATTCAAAAAAAGTTACAGAGCAACCATGTCACAATTAAAAATAAAATTGTCACACATTTCTTGAACCGTTGCTGATTTTTTTATGTTCTTATGTTTTGGTGGACATAGATGACAGTACAGTAACTTGCACAAAGCAGAAATGTGCACAATGGAACTGTAAGATTTTTCTGTGCTGTCCTTACGTTTAATTAAATTAAATGGAATATGAAGTGATTGCTTAAAACTCACCTTGATTGGTCTGTCTTCTTAATAGGAATAGTAATCTAACACTAATCAGCTAATAAAAGAAAAATGTGCACTCTTTTACAATAACAAAGACACAAATACATAGTGATGAGCTGCTAGAAACTGGGCTTTAATTCTTTCATGCATGTTTTAAGATAAGTGCTCATTTGTACATCACAATGTAATATTTATTAACCATGTATAAACCAGACCGCACCAGAGATGCAATTGTTTTTGTGTGTTTTTTTTAAATGGGAACCTTTGGGCTGGGAGAGACTGACCCTACATCGAAGTGAGGGTATGTTGTAAAACGTCTGGCGGTAGAAAAAAAAGGAAGTTTTATTAAAGTTGTCAAGAAGTTGTACTTTATTTGATATCATATTCTCCGGAGTGTCTGGGAAGATCCTTTACCGATATTGTCGTACAGCTATCTCAGTCGTTGGCGCAGAACGGAGAAGCTTTTCACACTGAAAGAAAAATATTTACATTTTCGGTATTTTATCCAATGGCCTAGAGGTGATTGTACTGGAGGGTAGCATCTACTACTGAGCCATGTTAAATCCCATGTAAAATGTGCTTCTAGCACATTCATTTACAGACCATAAATATATGTCATTCCATCTAAACAGACTGCATCTCCTCCTCAACACAACTGAAATGATCAAATGCCAAGTCGTCAGCACTGGTATGGTAATTTATTTTTTTTTCCTTACAGCACTATTCCGTCCAGATTCATTGGTGCAAAATACTTTGAAAAGAATGATAAGCTTACTGCTCAAAAACGGATTCTTCTCTCCGTAGAGGGGTATATTAACAGTTTATCAGGTTCATGTACGGTCTCTCTCAGGAATTGGGAAAAATACCACGGATTACTGCCTCAAATTCAGCATAACCGCAGTCACTCCCATTGTACTCTTTGCCACGGGAAAATATTAAAAAGACAGGAGACACGCTTGAACACTACTAAATGAAAATCCACAACCTTTTTAATCACTTGCTCATATTGAGTTTTATATTTCAGGTTTATACCTATTGTTTCTATTGACAACGTCGGCATTAAGATACAGAGCAAGATACATTTGTGACAAACCGTTTTTTGCAAGATTCGAGTTATGTAACAGATGGTCGATTGAAAGGGAGTAGGCAGTATCTTTTTTCAATTTAACTAAAGACCAAAATGTTACAAGGCTATAGAACAATTGTCCTAGTCTTGAATCCGGAACGTATTTTCGAATATCGCATTATTTGGCAAACGCGGCAGATTTCCAAAAGCGATAACCTCTGCACTATGGAACTATCGCCTGGACTTTAGAATGAGATTTTTCGTTACCATTCTACGAAGCATAACTTCATATGCCAATACAGACTTTTTTTTTACTAAGTAACTATGCTCAAACAGGTTTGGCAGCTGAAAATGTAACGGGGTTTTCTCAACAGTAATTGTTACAGACCATCTAAACTAAACCCAATCAAAAGGAGAACTTAAAACCCCACTTTTATTAAGAGTCATGAAAAGGTTTTTGAGAGAAGTGTGCATTTGTTCGCATGCCTTAACAATCAAGGTCTGTGCGATATAATTTGAAACAGGCACCGCTGTCCAAATCTTTAAAGTGAGTAGCTGGAGTCCTGCTATTTTCCATATAAGAAAACATGTTTCTTTCATTTTGTTTTCACAATGCCTTGAAAAAAACAAGTTTCCCATTCAAGCAAAACGGTTAAATCTAAAACGTAAAATGGCAATCAAATTTTTTACTTTGTAACTCGACTGAGACACCTCAAAAGCACAGTCGTCCATGTTGTCCACAAACAACGGGCTTTTAATAATACTACTAATTCACACCGGTCTCATTCACATTATTGCCTTTTAAACGTAGTATCACACTATGCATGCAGTAGGATAAACGTGTTATTTACCTGCTTATAGTCAAACAGGCTATTTCAGTAGAGTACAGGGTTTATAATAAACGTTGATGATTTAGTGACAGTAAACTTTGCAAACATGACCCTGACGGATAACAATAGCCTAATATTGGGTTGATTTGCGGTTTTGTTAAAATGCAATTGAAATACCGTGCCAAACTGCCTGGTGTCGCCATTTTAGGTTAAAAGCAAATTTTCACCCAATGTGCAAGGTTGCGGCTGTCCCAAACAAGAGCCACTGCACAGAAATACACGCCTAAAAGACACTTTCGCCGTCACAAATAGCCCGTCAGTACCACAAGAGCACGCAGGTGAAAGCATTTTCTCTTTCCTACCTGTGATACGGATGTAAATATCGGACTTCGGCTCCGCCTCTTCACGTCTGACCACAAAACGCTTCTTCCTCGACTCCAATCTCCGTCTTTCGCTTTTACGCTTCATGTTAATTTCAGAGGTGCCTCGGGATCATATTCAAAGCCACACGGGGTACTAAAATCACACTTCAGGGCACGGCACTCTTGCAAGGTGGAAGTCTGATTCACCGACTGGCCGTTACGGCTCTGCAGCAGCTGTGCTTCAATTCTGCACGTTGTGACGTTTCTTTGTCGAGGTTGGTTCAAACTCCTGAGCCTCTCCTACCGACTGCGTTCACACAGGAGACAAATTGGGATTTCTGACGTGACGTCAGTCTCAAAATGCACGTTTCTTGGTTGAGAATAAATTTCTGTTAATCTTCATCACCCAGACGGTATACGTTTTCGCATAGTATCGTTTTTTTGGGGGAAAAAAAAAACTCTGTGAGCGCCTTCGCAAGAAGAGACCAGAGGGGAGAATAAATATTTTTAATTTTTCAATTTGGATTTCATCTGCATTTTTGGACCATTCATTATTGTCTACTCAATTGTCTATCAATATTCAAATGATACTGATGATGAAGTATAAATAAAGAGGTTG